TGCAGGAGCTGCTACAGCAGGTGAGAACTCGGGCGAGACAGAGGCTACACCAGCGACGCCTATTACTTCGACCAACTCGGGATTCAACAAGAATGCGCCCAACGGGGCTGCTGGCGCCAATGCGCAGGCTACCACGGCCGCGACTGCCCCCACTGCTCCAGCTGCTGCGCCGCCTCCTCAAGCAGCACCTGTGCCGCCTCAGACCCATGGCGATCCAAGTCAAAACGGAATGATGGACAATTTTGGCAGTATTGTAAGTTTGCAAAGGAGTATTGCATATATCTGGCGTCCCACTAATTGCCTTCTTAGATGGAGTTTGGATCTATGGAGCTTGCCAACCCCCTGCAATCCGGCGATGTTCTGAACGACTTTGATTTCGACTCGTTCCTTCATGAAGACAACACTGAGCCATTCGACTTCAACGGCTTCTCCAGCATGGAAGGAGGCGATCCGATTGGAGCCGACTAAAGGTTAGCGATACGGGAACAAATCAAACATGCATATATGCAAGGATGAAAAGACGAAGACAAGTTTGTGAATTTCTTATGGCTCTGACCAGTGTTTCTTCTACTTACTCTGTGTGTCATTGTGGCTCAACTCTAATCTGGCATCATTCGACACGGCGTTTCAGGGGGCTTTTACTATATCATGGAATTTCCTTTTTTTTTTGTTTTTATGCGGCGATCCAGGCTCTCGGGAGAGAGAGGTTACGGATTACAGATGGGAAAAAAGAGCCGTTGTTTGTTGAGTGCCATCTCTCTGTATTCCTTTTGATTCTTGTGTTATTTCCCCTCCGTCCCCCCCTCTGTGTGTGGTTTGGCTCTTTGAGAGTGTTTTTTATTTATTTTGACGTGTCACTTTGACTTGCTGCGGGGAATGGCTGGGTTTCAGGCAGGTGCAAGGAAATCGAGGAGTTGTCGTTACCGTCTCCCGAGTGTTTATGTTTGGTCTACGTCGAAAGCGGTCTTCGAATATATCATACCACGTCCTGCATGCCGATCAATCACAGTGATAACGGTGCTTCGACGCCTACTTCTTTGCCGACTCGAGATGAATGTTCTGATGACTCTTGACAAATCTAGAGGAGAATTTGGTTCCACCTTGGAACATTGGATGTATGACCATTATATTGACATAGATTTGTATGCGAGTCCAACTCAGCAAACCTAGATGAATGACACCTAAACGCCACACTCCATTATGAACCCATCAAGCTAGGACTAAATGAGGATTCTGTCCCCAGAGCGAATCAATCATCCTCAGGGGGCAGCTCGTCATCGATATAGCGCACCAACGAAACCCTCATTTCAGTAGTGTCATTTCCCCGCAGCACATCGCTGATAAAATGCGCCTCCACCTGCATCTGTACCATTTCCAAAGCACCTCTCAGCACGCCACACAGGATATTCGAGTACCATAGTTCGTCCTGGGCTCGCCCGTCGTCCGGGAGCTCGACAAAGTCGGCAAAGGGATTCTCGTCGAATAGCAGCGAGAACTGGTTATTGTCGGAGGTCCAGTTGGTTATTTGGGGTGTGATGTTGAGGAATATTTTGAAGCCGACCTGATTTTCGTCAGTGAACTAACTGGACGAGGGATGCGGCCGAGAGACATACTCTTGCAATCATGTCGGCTGTTTCCCTAAAGTTTGCACACCGCTTCATGGTGTTCGACTTGGCGAGGTAGTCTTCTATTAGGCGTAGGCCAATGTTGTAGCCCATCTTGTCCAGTTGCTTATTCACCTCGGCGTAGTCATTGTCAAAGTCCTTGCAGAGCTGGGCTACGACGGTGCCGTACGTGAGGGTGACGAGTTCGGCGTTGACTTTGTCGATGCGCGTCCTGAGCGGTTAGATGACCGGCGGGTAAGAGGGGGGGAGACGGAGGCGCTCACTTCCATATTCTGGACATGTTAGTTGGGCACTTGGTCTTGCGATGGGAGTGACTGGACGTACTCTTCGCCTACGCGGGAGGCTTTGCTCGCCGCCATGATGAAGGCGGGGCGAGGTGTGGTGTAGGAGGTGGCTCGATTGCTCGCAATGCGGAATCAGTGACGGATTGGTAAGGAGAACCGTTACCCGGAGAAGCTTTACAAAAGGTAGACTGTCGTAAACTACCCCAATTAGAAGAGCTTCGTCGCAAGTACAACTAATCCGCTGTGCTCGAAGCTCAGTAGCGGGGACGGAGGTGGTCACAGGCGTACGTACAGCAACAGAGGGAACAATCACCGGCCCGACCGCCAATCGCAGACCCGCAGTGGGAGTTGGAGCTCAACCCCAGTTTTTCGACATGGAAAAAGTTCCCTAGCTGCGATCACCACGGCCGCAACACGTACATGGTGACGCGATAAATTCGATTTTTGGCAGTTTGCAGACGCACCGACTTGTTACACTTCGAGATACTGGACAGCCGAATATCTCAGCATCAGCCTTTTCCCCTCTCAGCTCCACCAAAATGTCTGCCGAAAAACGTCCCGCAGAGGACGACCCCAGCTCGTCACAAATGCTTGTCAAGAGGCAGAATGTTAGCACGTCAGAGGGTGCTCTGGCGCGCCTGAATGCGTCCAGCAATGCATTGGTTCAAGCGGTGTGTAAAAGTTCACCCGAATAGACGCGAATTCGGCTAATGTTTATTTAGAATGCGCGAACGAGCGCACTGCAAGCTCCGGTGATGGAGCTGTCGGGGCACACGGGGGAGGTTTTCACAGCCAAATTTGATCCGACGGGCAACTTGATCGCATCGGGATCCATGGACAGAAGTATAAGTAAGTAAATTGACGAGGCGGCGCGGTCCGCAGCCCGAGAATATGCTAATAGAATACCTTTAGTGCTCTGGAGGACGTATGGCGACTGCGAGAATTACGGTCTATTAAACGGGCACAAGGGCGCCGTTCTCGACCTCCAGTGGTCGCGGGACTCGGAAATATTGTACACCGCATCGGCGGACATGCACCTTGCCAGCTGGGACCTGACATCCGGCACGAGGATACGCAGATACGTGGGGCACGAGGAAATCGTCAACGCTGTAGACATCACCCGACGCGGCGAGGACCTGATCATCAGCGGCAGCGACGATTCCACCATTGGCATCTGGGACCCGCGCAGTAAACACGCCATTGATTATATCCAGACCGACTTCCCCGTCACGGCGGTGGCCATGTCTTCTGCCGGAAATGAGATCTTCGCAGGCGGCATTGACAATGACATTCGCGTGTGGGACCTGCGCAAGAAGTCGGTTGTGTATTCTTTGCTGGGACACTCGGACTCCATCATGTCGCTTAAAGTGTCGCCCGATTCTCAATCACTGGTCTCGTACGCCATGGACTCGACTGTCAGGACGTGGGACATTCGTCCGTTTGCACCTACGGAGAGACATATCCGCACATTTGACGGCGCGAATGCCGGCGTGGAGAAGAACCTGATGGGCGTGAGCTGGGACGCCGACGGCAAGAAGATTGCCGCGGCGTCGGCGGATGGAACTGTGGTTGTGTGGTCGAGTCAGAATGGCAAGTTGTTGTACAAGTTGCCTGGGCATAAGGGGACCGTCAACTCTGCCGAGTTTACGCCGGGCAAGGAGCCGATATGTAAGTTATATCAAGACCATTGTTTTGACGCGCTCGCTAACTTTTGGTAGTGCTCTCCGCCTCATCGGATAGGACTATGCTTTTGGGAGAGTTGAAATGATCCTGAAATAAGGCTGTCTTGGTGGCATGGACTACGAATCACGGAGTCGCAATCAATAAGGGCAAGGGCAAGCCGAGCAGAGCGATTCGGATGTACGCTGGAGCAAGCCGGTTCGTCGTCAGAAGGAGAATTAACCCATCCAGCGTCACTGCTGTAACAACAATCCTGTCCATGGCTGGCGGGCTAAAAGAAGCACTGGAAGCTGTCATTTGCGCAGACGACACCGCCCACGACGTGGTCAATGGTCTCGATTTGAAATTTGGAACGCAAGTCATGGAAGACGAAAACGGCGTTTTGGGACCTTGACGACTAATCTGTTTACGGTGCTGGAAGTCAATCTTGATTAATGTACGAGAAGCCCTATGAACTGCGCGGCAGTTGTCTTTGCTAGAGAAAGAGCAGTTCCTGACGAGATAGAAGACTAGGTCTGCGCAGTCGCGCTGTAATATACAAAGCCTTTGTCAAGTCGAGATATGCGCCGTGAAATCTTGACTCGTTGCCTGTCTCGAAATGATTTGGGGTTTCTATCTGCAACTTCAGTTGTACCTGCAATCGAGTGAGGAATATACATCTCTGAATTTATTCCACAGTCTGGCTCCCAGCACCAAGAGCCTGCGGGCATGACTTGAGCACTGCCGATACGTTTCATGCAATGACATTGGCTACTGAATCATATAGCGTCGGTGGCAACGAGCAGACGATCCCTCGTCATAGACATAGCTCTGACCGCCACTTTTCCTCCTTCTTTTCTTCTTTTTTTTTTCTAAAATTTAGACTGATGATGTGTTTTCGGCAGTTATAGCGATAGGTATATACATCGGACGCCTGGCATACGGTGTACTGGCGTGTTCAGCAGGCGCATCTATCTACGTCGAAGCACACTCTGCACCCGATCATTTCGAACCAGCACATCATGTCCATGATATAAAGTAAAAGGATGCTTTACATTCCAGAGGGCCAGATGGGCCGATGGATGGATGGGGTAGCACGTCCGTGCATGCGCCATCATTTCTACGGGAGTGCCGAGGCACCATGTTGGGCAGATTGTCTTTCATGTCACATTCACTTCACGTCGCTCTGAGAAGGAGCATTCATTGCTTTGGGAGGAGCCAGCTGGTGCTGTGAAGAGTTTTATTCAGAAACTACCAGACTGCAAAGTTCCTGATTCTGCATGGATTTGACAGCCAGTACACCTCTGCTTGCAGGCCGGATAGCACGGCCATGGTCGACTTAAGGTGCGTCTTACCGTCATGGCTGGAGGACGAATGACCGCGCATGGCCCGCTGACGTCTTTGGCGTTGTTGAAAGGAAATACAGAAGATCTCAAGACCAAATTATACCTCGAAATCGTGTGGGGCCCCTACTTTTGGCAGAATGGTTCTTTCTTACAAGCGTAAACCCGTGGCAGCAGCAGCAGCAGCAGTGGTGGTTACAGCATGTGCGGCCAGTGTCCTCGAATGGCTGCTCGCGTGTAACCACGCGCCTGGCCGGAGAAAGATCACCGGGCCCGTCAAACGAGGATTCTCCAGGGCGGTAAGGGGGGATATACATGTTCTGATTGACGGGGCTTCTTCCATCGTCGATAGTGCGCCAAGACCTCGACGTGGAGTAGGGATCTTCACCGGGGCCGATATTGGGATTGCGGTTTTCGCAGACTCGGGGGGGCTGGGAGCCTGTTTGTCTCGATGAATTTCGGCCGCAGCCTTTGGCATATTGATTCGAGCCAATATAGACATGGCAGTTGTTGAAGACTTGGTGGGGCTGGGAGGCTGTTTGGGACGATCCTCGCGTGTAGTCAGAGCCTTGGTCCATGTCCCTGCCGTCGTCTGCGAAGTTCGAGCCCTGGAACGAGTACGCCCGAGGTTCGCGCCTGAACTGTTCATCCATGTCGGCCACCGTCTCTTCATAGCGGGGTCGACTCAAGGGTTGGATCAGGTCTCGGTGAGAGTTTGGGGGAGGGTTTGGGGGAGAGTCTCGATGTCCTCCTGGGTCCATGGCGAGCTTTCAGAATCGGAGCTGTTGTTCTATCTGGGGAAGTGGTGGAAAGTTGGTTGTCGTTGCGGAGTATGCCAGGAACCACGATGGAGCGCCGAGTGTCGCAGTATTTAATGCCCTGGGGGACTCTGGCGTTTGTCGATACAGTCTTGGTCAGCTCGTCGGGTTCGTCTCGTTGAAAAGGCGCTGCACGACGAGTGTTCAAGACGTGTGTGGTGTTCATCTGGACTACAATGCCTGCAGCTGTTGATGGCCACATGGGTTCACTGAAAGGCCATGTTTCGACAACCCATAGCTGAATGGGAATTGTCAGATGCGCGAACAGCGCCTGATTACTATTATCCTATAGTCCGACTCCTTCAAGGGACAGAGTGAAGGCCTCTTGTGACTCGAATTCACACACATGCTCTGTTCGGTATACGAGGCATGAACATGCATCTTGACGATATGAATGCAAGGCCAGGTCCTTTGTGGAAGTGTGGCTTAGGATGCACGCTTCTTGGAGCGGCTAGGAGCAAACTGACGTATCAGAAGGGAGCCATGTTCAACTTTTGTGCTGGACACGGTTTTGTAAGCCTGTAACGTTTCCACGCGGTCTGTAGGATATCATGTTTGCTTTCTGAAGCCGAGCACACCCAGTACCGAGACTTTCTGGGCTGGCACACCGTCTGGCCATGATGAAAGAACGCATTGAGTGGGAGCCCGGCCCCTGCTTTCCTCCTTTCTTTCTCATGATCCAGGGCTTCTTTGTGTTCCTTTGTCCTAGACACACGGGCATGCTCTGTGTCTGCCGTCGGATGGGCTGAGTTATCTTTTAAGCCCAGTTAAGCCCGTGGCTTGAATGTGTAAAGCCGAACTTTTCCTTTGATCTACGCAAAGGCGCTGAAACTGTACCACGGAGGTCTTCTCCGCATGAATCTGCATCGCGCAACAAAGAAACCATTGGAAGCACAAAGGACTCATCAAGCCCGTTGATCATGTGAGTACATATGTATTCATTGTCCATACTGAAGGCCCGTACCACCTCAAAGAGGCCCTTGCATTATACTGCTCAGCATGCAGTCCTTGTGTACAATTGTGCTTGTGTGACGCGACTTGTGCTCAGAGACTCCCGCATACAACCACGTCCGAGGAGCATCCATTGCCAGGATACAGCACGGACACAGCTAGGTTTTTTCTTTCTTTAGTAAGCTAGCATCTAACAAATATTATTACCTCTTTTCTTCATAATGAACTTTTTTAAGCAGAAAAAGCATGCCCCAGAGCATGAGGCATCGACACCCGGACAGTCGCTATCGGAAGCGGCTCAACGCCAGCCAAACATTACAAGTTGTATATTGAAAGCACGATGGCAGCTATCTATTGAGACTGATGTACGGGAGAATACAGTGAGTCAACTATTATCCCCTCGCATACCACGCCTTGAAATTGCCTCGCAGCCGCAGATGTGATGGGCCCAATCCCAGAAGCTGGCCTGGTCATCTTGCCGGAAGCCAAAGATATCGGTACTGTTGAGGCTTCCCTTTAGATATTTTGATATGTAGGCAAACTTGGACCGGCGGTCTCCTTGCTGCCCGTTGATGCCACCGTCATTCTACTCCCTGTGAGGTCTGTACATGTTTTTGGCCGCTTCAGTGGTGAATTTATTGCTGGGTATATTTATTTGCAGCTTTTTGCTTATAGCTTCTGTTCCAGGGTCCAATATAGAGGGCACGGAAAGTGATGAGTTAGTCTGCCGGTACTCTTATCGCCTCCCTTTCCTGCTAAGAATAGTCGAACGGCCCGCCAGATAAGTAGGCTGTATGAGCTCGACCACCGATACGGTTGCTCGCCTCGAGCATGGTCATTTTTGTAAAACCTGCCTGGTGTGAGATCAGGTAGGTCATCAGACCGAACGTGTCAGCTCCCACAATGGCAATCTTTTTGCTCTTGGCGGCGCTGACATCAACCATACCGGGCTCTTTTCGAGACAGATGCTTCACCCTGTCAAACCAGGGTCCCGGCGTGTCAATGCCGTTGGCTCCTGTCATGGCGATGGGCTCTGTGACTCGTGACGCAATGTCAGCCGAGCACTCTTGCTCACTCATGTGGTAGGGCATGAAACGTATACTGACGGGCCCGTCGTCTAGTGGTCGCTCTATTCACTACTCTATATAGATCTTGCGGTGGGCTTCGGCCGGCCAACGTATCATTCTTTTTCTAGGCTGAAATACACCAGTCGGTCGGCGCGTTCTGTGGGATGATGCATGCAAGTCTTGAGTCAGATGTGGTGCATTCTCTCCTAGCAATAATGTGATGATTGTCGCTCAGATTTTGCCTCGTATGCTCTGTAAGTGAAAGAAGTTAATCCAGATACGCATTTGGACTGTAAGACATGAATGTTTACCAAGCGAGAGGTTATTTCTCTTCGGATTTCAAATTCTAGTGAAAGAGAGTGGGCAAGACATTGGACAATGGGTGACAGGCAGTAGATGGCGAGAGACAATAATTGGTGACCCATCATGACAGCTTAGTGAGATTTTGAGCGACCCTCCTATTCGAAGTGAATAAATTATGAAAGGATGCGGTTCCGCCGGTGTAGACGAGGTCTTTCTAAGATCAGAGCTGATATTTGATGCTGCCCAGCCCAGGTGTCGCCTTTGAGCTCAATATAGTTCAAAAGTCCCGTATCTTGGCCTTTCCCTTTTCAGATGTCAGAATAAATGAACAAGATGGATTCCAAGTCGCCCTCAAGTGATGCACTGTCCGCAAATTTGGCACAGTGTAATGTAGGAGCGGGAGAGGAAGAACAGGAGGGACATGATAGCTTTAGTATATCGCATGCCATTTATTTCTAGGAAAAGAGGTATTCCGTGCCGCTAAAAAAAGAAAAGAAATAATAACCTATAGAGTATAGCAAGGATATAAAGCACACCGGCAAATAAAAGGTCACGTTGTGGAAACATCGGTATGCCGCCGCCAATTATTGCATGACGCACATCTTGGCCAACAATTGTGTGACCGAGGACCATTCTTTATTGTAGGCATTTTAGGAATCGCGGACATGTCTGACGCTACTGTCTCACAGCATCTGGTGTTGGAAGCGCCCGACCCTGTCTTGGCCAAAAATGCCGTTGCAGAGCGAACTGGAACAACGTGGTGCAAAAAATAAACTGGCAGATTCAACTGACATCAATGGACAGGTCCCCAGTTTTCCGGGGGTCCAAAAAAAGAAACAACAATGTGGCTCTCCCGCCGGGAATTGAACCCGGGTCTCAAGCGTGACAAGCTTGCATACTGACCACTATACTACGGAAGATGGAATGGCTTTTCGAAGCCATCGTAGTGTGTTGTCATGTCTGGTCCGATGTTAATTATAACTATAAAGGCTTCATTCCACTGGCAACTCGGCCCGATTTCCAGCATACTCATTCATCACCTCAAAGCAATTGACAAATGCACAAAAGTGTGTCTTTCAAGAAACAGCCAACAGCAGCAATAGGTCTATACAATTTTATTGCCATATTTCTGATCAGCCTTGGAACGAACTGCATGGGAACGATTGAAAACTACATTTCTCTTGGGCATTTGCTCCGAGTTCGGCAGGCCCGTCTACCACGATACCTGGCCCTAGTTGGAGTTGTCGCACTTTGGCTACATTACAAGCCGGCACATTTTTTTAATGGAAATTTGCACCTGGTATTGAAGATTTGCCGAGAATTTGAGACATCAGTCGGGCCTGTATCTAGGAGGTTCAACAAGCCGGGCCGTTTCAATGTGGCTCAAAACTAGGTGGCAAGGTTCAAACCAGAAGCTAGCTAGCAAAACTAATAGCTACGACCAGCTGTCCAGCGGAAAGGTGAGTAGATAGATTCGGTCGAGGAACAAGTCCACATTAAACATGGCCCGTAGCTGCCAATTGTGGCAGCCATGGCTAGCCGAAGCTATTTCCCATGTCATTGAAGCCTCGTGAGAGTAGCCATTGTCAGTTTTAGCTTGTAGTCTATCATGGAAGTGTTATTTTACATATAGAGAATTGACTGGTGCATAATCTTGGTGGAAATGACACTACAAGTCAGAAATAGGTCAATAATATCTCGGTCACTGTTCTGCTCTGTCTTCGTCAACCAATGCCCGGGGAAACTTTGTTTCAGCTTCAGAACACGAAGTCGATTGACATGACTGCCAGTTCCTCCCAGACCAGGCCCTTTCATATTCTCATATTCCGTAATTTACCTAGCGGCTCTTTTTGCCGATGTTCGCTCCGAGGCTACAAGCTGGCTAGTGTTCCTTCGTAAGACTATCAACCATCCTAGGCAGGTTCGCGCCCGAGAACGGTGCGATAGTGAGAGAAAGACTATGAGCCATGGGATGATGGAAGATCCGGGGGAAGGAAATGAGGAAGGGATAAGGATCGAAACTTCTGCGTATTCAGGAATCGGATATCCAACATGTTGGGTTCTTTGCGTTTATTCATTTGCCTTTACATCCTGCCTTTCTTTAGAAACACGCAGAGGTCGGTGAGGTTAGCTGAGAGGGAAAGCATCTGGCAGGGATACATGCGGCAGTAAGACAGGCCGCCGGCCTCTGAGTTGCTCGCCGTCTCAGTTCCGGGTCGAAATCCTTCTCCCGCGCCTCTTGTCAATCACACATGTCTACATGATTCCATATCAACTGCCTCTCGACGTACGCCATACAAGGCATGGCATGGCAAGATAATGACCTTTGACATGCGCGAGGATGTTGTGCTATAGGATGTGCCTGAGCGTTTGAATCACATGGATGGCTTTTAAAGATTCTAGAGCGTTTTTGTAATAATATCAGAATGGTTCTTCATCATGCTCGATTTCGTGCTATTCTAACCACATGGACAAACAAGGCCGGCGCCAGACCTACCCTCTGAGACGGCAGAGCCACCACAATTTGTAATAGACACATGCAAGACTCTGACAAGCAAAACTTACAGCATTAGAGTTCTCGAGAGATATACAGCGTTTACTTAGTGGTATTACCTTGCGACTAGTTGTTCCCCCCGGCTCGCGAGTCGCCTACAGCATTCAGAGCCGACCACCAAGCTCTTTCTGAACACGGTTGGCTCAGTACGTGCTGGAATTGCTTATATCCCTATTTCTTGTCTCGCGCAAACAGGTCAACGTGTACAGCTCTTCCAATGATAGGGCTCGCGTTATCCGGCCACATGTGTGCTTCACTTGGTGGTGAACAACAAACGATCCGGCCACACATCCACGTAAAAGTGGCTACCCAGCCACGAAATCGATCTCAAGGCGATAACATCGTATTTGGCGAGTGACGTACCTACCCCCTTTCTTTTTTCAGAGCTGGACGAGTCAGGGGGGAGACAGCACGGAGAATATCAATGTTGCCCTGGCTGACGGAAATCATCTCAGCATACCAAGACACATGCCGTCGAGCCGTTTTCGCCAAGCGGCATGACATCCGTCTCCCCTAGGCGGGATTCGACTCCCGAGTTTTTCAATCGGTAAGCCTTTGCGGTGGGTCGTGGCCGTCGACAGTTCTTTCGCACTTATACTATCTCTTCGCCCCGCGTTACAAGGTTCCCGTGGTTGCAGGGAACCGGCACGTCAGCCGTTCACGTCTTTGGGATAAATGCAGTCTCTAGAGGTGGAATATGCTGCGGTGCTGGCGTTATCCATGATGCGTGTTGATCAAGAGAGAACCGCTTTGTCCTGAAAGCAGTTGCATACGCTCAACCTCGTCGTGTCGTGAAGCTCGCCATCGTTCTTCAGACCTAGGAGATATATCAGTTTAAAGCAGATGTTCGCAATAATCGTCTGTTGTGTCATGTCGGCCGGTTTTCTGAAGATATACAAGGCTGCTTGAGGTTCGAGAATCCATCTATCAGGGTCGTATCTTGGTGGCAGAGTATGGCACCCAAGGCTCATTCATTGCTCTGCGGCCCTCGAGAACCAACCCTCCGTTCGGTGCCGTCAATGTGTCGTGTGTCGAGTTGGAGCCGTAAAATGAAACGTCACCCCCCCTCCGATTGGGTTTGCCGATGGTTACAGCTTTACAGCTCGCTGTTTCCCCTGGTTTTGTTTCCTTGTCCGAATCCTAGCCTTTTGCAATAAGCTCGAGGACAATCTGCATCCGTATCGACATTGTTTGTTTCCCGCTGGCTTGCTCGTGTAACCGGCTCTCTTCGTCGTCGTCGTCGTCAGACTTTGTTCTCGTGCTTGACGATGAGGAGGTCGAGGTATTGGCCCTCACCCAAATCTCTAGGTCGTCCATGGTAGACGCTTTTCCGGAGGCTCAACTGACCCTGAAAGCTGGCCGCGTCCGAGAAGGAGAAGGGGGTATGCGCCTTTTGTACTCCGTATCGTCTTCGAATCACCCGTACTATGGAAAACAGTACCCACAAACGCAGCTCAAAGCATGAGTCGCGGCAAGCGGGTTCTTGCAGGCTATACAAAAGTTCCCAACCAAATCCGGGGTGTAGGTGGTACCATGTGTAGGCCATTCTGATGCAAACTGCGGAGTAACGGGCGCGGACTCAAGAAGGCTTGAGAAGGTTGCTTTCGCGAAGGTGACTCTGGGCTCGGGACTCGCCTCGAAACCCAACAGGATCGCAAAAAGCAAAAAAACACATCCCCTGCTTGGTTCTCGATGCTTCACTGTTCCATCGTGTCGCAACCCCCCACTCGTGTCGTTGCTCATTGACGGCTCTCATACGCAGATGTACGGGGAGGCCTGATGCGAGGGTCAGAAACAACCAATTGGAAAGTTTATCTGATGTCAGGAACTTGGCATCTGCCTGTTATTGGATCGCCAACAACCGCAGGGTCTCAGTGCAGCTTCTACCCCGTCCGCCCTGGGCTTGCTTGCCTTTCCGGCGTCTCCACGGAGGCGAGAGCGATAACACGCGTCTTATTCCCCTTCATCATCAACCTCCACCGCGGCCAGATCTCGCGGCACGACCAATACCTACATGCCTTGATATCAGTACAGAGTACGGAGTACTACTGCTACAACATACTCGGGTGCTACCCACAAGCGGGCGGATCGAGCCGTGTCCATGACAAGACGTTTCATGCAAAAGCCAAACAAGGGTGAGCCGGCACGAACATGTTGGATCTGGAAATTGGTTTCCTGCAGGCCATCACGGATCTACACCCGTTTAGGCCAATCCTCCCGACCATGGGCTCGTCCAACAGGGGTCTGCTGCGCTTGCTCGACAGTTGACGCTTTGTTGTTTTGGCAGCATCGACATTCCGGATGAGCGCATGGGAGGCGAAAACGGTCAGAAGACTGTACATACAATGTATGTATGCATGCCCATGAGTTTGGTGGAACAGATCGACCCATCAGCATTTCTCGTCGCGGTTCCCTGCTACCAAGACGGTACTCCGTAGACCACCCTGCTCTTGATGTCTTGCAATATCAGCGGCTTTAAGATCCTGTCATCTGGGTTTAGTGGCCGATTCATGTTGCACGGCGTCCCCCAACTGGTCATGCGGCTTTTGAAGAGCAAATATAGTAACGCGAGGTATATTTGAAGTGCCAAAGTGAAATACTAACCCCCCCTTTTCGCGGTGTCGTCCTTGAAGTGACCCAGGCCGAGTATTCCGTACTGCATCTCGACTCACGCTGCTAGTCGTAATACACGGTCCAGATTTCTGCAACCTGATACCCGCCCTCCTTCCATTTTGATTTAATTTTCTCTCGTTCCATGGCACCAGCTCTTCTGGGTATAGATTAGACCACTGTTGAAGGATGTTTAGCAATCAGCTCTCATGGTTTACTTGATCTGACCGACGTTACTTCTCTTTGACCAAACGGCCCGCCCATGACAAATTATACATATACGATGGCTTAATACAACTCGTGCCAGCCAGTGTGGGATGGGAGACTTTCCGGGCCCCCATTTAACATGCCAAGCGATACGTCGTTGCATTCGAAAGGGGCTCTTTGTCCCTGGAAAATGCCGCAACTTCAGCTTCTATACATGGCCCTTCTTCATGGTCCCGCCATTTCCAACAACAACATGTCACACCAACAACTTTCTATGGCCTGGCGTTTCCCATCTCAGTTCACGATAAGCCACATCTTCCAACGCCCATCTTTGCTGCAGGCCATCCCCACCTGCATCAAGCTTACAAAAGAAAGAGGCTGTATTGTCATCTGGCCACGAAGGACTCACATTGAGTAGCAAAGTAGTCTATCCTCAAAATGACTCTATATAAACACCATCTCCAGCGAGTCCATCTCTTCGCTGGACACGGCTGTCTCTGTAGTAGATGGGCTTGACGTCGGACAAGGGAGAATAACCGCCTCTCTGCGTCCCATGCGGGTGACTTTGGGCGATCAGATACCAGACTGTCTCGCCCAGTCAACCAAGCCAGGCCCTTGCATCACCTACGGATGGCTCCCCGTCTCTTTGGAGAAACTCTTTCATGCCATGGAGACGCATTCTCAAACCTGGGCCGTGGTATTGCGGCGAATAGCCGGCTTTGTATGACATCCCTTGCGTCCAACGTTGTCATACCCACTAGCATGTCATTCTCTACGCCATGCTGTGTACTTGTATTCATCCACCAATTTTCCAGAATGTGAGCGGAAGGGGGGATGAGCTGTTCGCAACCATATCTGCCCAAAGAAGACGAAACGTGTTACTGGGATGAAAATACCATCTAGTTCTGCCGGATACCTGCACCATTCTTACTGGAGGCACATGTGATGGCACCCAGATGGACATCTTACCGCGATATATAGCTGAAAGTATAGCACGGCGGTGCTTCACATAGCAGTGTAGGCGCACCGCGTCCAACATTCACCAGCCCGCCCACAATGTAGCATCTCCAAGGCTCTCTGGCAAACAAAGTCTTGAACATAGTTCACCACCGAAACCTGATGGACGTCTTTTTCCACGAAAAAAAAAAGAAGAAGAAGAAGAAACAACAAGCGGTTCGCGGAAGGAAAACATGCGCCTCATTTCCAGCGTCACGGAGGCATCAACTTGCAAAAACAGACACAGGAACAAGCTGTACACAGAGTATAAAAGTGGCCGCCGTCCCACGGTGCGCAGAGACTCTCATAATGCGACGAAAGGGATGCCATCAAGTCCAGGGAGACGACTATAATAAACCACGGTAGGAGTCAAGCAAGACCCGGTTCACACGGGTGAAGAGCGAAGCCGTGTCTCACTGGCAAAGGCCCTCACGACTCACGAGCGCCCATCTCGTCCCGTGCCACACATGACGCGTAGTCTCAGTGGGCGATGAGGCGTTTCTTTTTGTCGCGCCGCCCTTTTTTCGACTCATCATATTCATTCAGGTCTTGCTTGCAAAACCGGACCGGCAAGCCAACTTGACGTGTTTTTCGAACCAGACGGGTGGTGGTTGGGTCCCCCGGCAGCGCTCTCCTTCCAGACGGTTACAGCACAGCGGAATTGGGAAATATTTAGCGACGGTCACGGGCTTTGGTGCAACCCGGGGGGGGTGTCTTGGGTCTTGTCCTCGCCTCTCCCTTTTTTTTCTCGGCCAAATAAGATGGTTTTGCCCCGTTCTGGCGCCATTTCCTGCTCCTGCTTGTTCGACTTCATCCTATTCCTCTGAATCCCATCCATCGTCAGGACCACTCAGGATTTTTTTTTTCACGGCCTTCTTTGCGATGGCCGTCGTTGATGACCATCTCCAGTGGGGTCATTCGCGGCTTCAGGCCTTCCAGACAAGAGGAGGATTGCCTGCGCGGACTGGAGGGATCGCGCAGTTGGCTCAGAAACAGCTCAGCAGGGTGGTATTCACACTCCATGAGGGAGTCGAGGTTCCACCGCGACGAAGCAGCCCTAACCAAAGCAAGCAGGTCAAGGTACTTGGGGGGCGTTGGCTAGTGGGCAGCTATGGCGCTGTCTCGCACGCTGACTCGACACGGGATGGTCCCAAGCCCTCGACGCCTCCAAGGACAGGGGCCGCGGCGGAGGTCGGGATGGGTCATTTCTGGATTCATTGGTCCAATGGCCGCTGGTGGTCGTTGTGCGACTCCATCACTTCTCAGGAGCTTGGCCAGCCCGTCACCATGCCTTGGGCGTACCAACCGTTCAGTCCGTCCTGCCCGCCGTACGGATGGGCTTGGGGCCAAAACAGCCATTCGCAGCTAGCCACCGCCGAGTCGATGGTGTTATCGTCTTGTCTGTTGCGTGTGTGTGCGTGCGTGCGTGTGTAGATGGATGCGTATGGCGCATGTATGTACGGTTGGTTCGCAGCGCTTTGGGCTCTCTCCGCCTTGCGTCTCGAGGAGTCGTTACTGGCCTACCCATCACTCCGCACAAAGAAGCGTTATGTATGCATGGAGCGTCAACACCAACCCGGCGGGATGAGCAAGTTTGATGGGCCTTACCTTACGAAATGGCGAGACAAGAGTCTCTGCTGGTGGATGATGCCGGCGCCCCGGCGCAAAAGCTGTCATGGTGCAGCATCAGATGTCCACAACGCACCGCGGGCTTCACGGGATAAGCGCGCACAGGCTTTCCCACCCGGGACTGGTTACGCACGGCGATTCCGTAACGAGGCAAGACTTGCGCAGCCGGCGGGGGGGTTTGCCTGTGCTGCCTGGCCTGGCCATCTCGTCCCACGGCACGGGGTGCGTGTGTGGCACTTGAGAGCAGTTGAACCAGCACAACCGCTTGAGCCGGTACCAACGGGACGGATCCGACGACTTTGGGAACGATAAGCTCGAATTGATGCAGGGCGTGTGCTTAGCAAGGCCGTCGTCTATTCACCCCCTGGATCCCCTCTCCCCACGTCCGTTTGGTGCGCTTTCGTGTATCCGGTACCCGCACCGCAGCTGCGGCCGCCGTGTGTAGGCTTGTACCCGCAACTTTGGCAGCCCCGTGATAGCATGTACCGCATGTACTCGGCATACTAGGCGTTTGGGCAGATCGGACAAGCAAGAATGTCGACCTGGTTGCATCAGCAGTGGACCTCTCAGCCCATTTCCCACACGGCCCTTCTTGGCCCTTTAAAAACGACGACGACTGCTGCTAACCAACTGTCCCAGACGACGGTGTGGCAATCTAGAATTACTGGGTGGTTGTGCATTTGCGTGTTGTGTCGAGCCTTTCTGCCACGATCCTCCAGGCGCCGGGCTCCTCGCGGGGAGAAGAGGGCAAAAAAGCAATTAATCGATCTGCGTTTCCGTTTTGAGTACCCAATCGTCCTATCCCATCAATCACATCGTCCCAAGTGTAAAGTCCGCCGCAGGTCAGTGGGATGTTGTGCGTTCTCCCCCCCCATTCCAACCACGACGCTACGCCGTCGAGTGAACTTGGTTCGAGTTTTTGACACGGATGGGCCATAGAGAATCATGCAAAAAGCCCGCATTGTCACTTGCAGGTAGATCAAGCGAACAAATGCAATGCCAGTCATAGGTTCATACCGCGGCTGCGACTCGTGTCGTAAATGGAAGAAGAAGGTACCAGACCAGATTGACAACACCAAGCACCACTGCCGGCCCCCATCCCCATCCCCATCCCCATCCCCCTCGCCTCTGCCGCGACTGACATGCGTCCTTCACGTCTATCTAGTGCGATAGCACGCAGCCCGGGCAACCGTGCTCGCGCTGCCGGACAAGGAACATTGCCTGCGTCGGCGTCGGCCAGCAGCGCTTCAAGTTTATAAACCAGTCCTCGTCCTCGTCCTCGTCCTCGTCGGCCTCGTCGGGCGGTGCTGCCGCTGCCGCTGCCCACGGCCAAAAGGTCGTCAGCCGCTTCGTCGAGCACGCGACGCCCCTGGCCACGGGCAGCCCCAAGTCGCCGCTGCGCAACGGCAACGACCGCGTCGCCGACACGCTCGTCTACTTCCTGGCCTCGACGCACCAGGGCTACAACCTCAAGCCCTTCCGCCTGTCCGTGTTTGGGGAGCTGCCGCGCCGCATCGGCTACTCGCCCGCCCTCGACGCCTCCCTCGCCGCCTTCACCAGTCTCCTCGAGACGCGGCAGTCGCCCTCGGAGCAGCTGAACCCCAGGTCGCTGCAGCTGTACGCGTCCGGCCTCAAGGCGCTCGAGACGTCGATTGCCAACCCGTCGTCGAGATACCGCTCCGACACCCTGTGCGCGGCCTACATCCTGTCCGAGTGCCACATATGGCAGGGACGAAATGCCAAGCTCTCCCGTGGACATGCCGAGGGCCTGGTGTACCTAATAAGTAATATAGCATGTCAGGATTTAAAAGACTTATTTCTCCGCGGCATATGCTACGCGATAACGGCAAACTTGGTAGGTCCTCGACGAGCGAGCAAACGGAGTACAGAGAGAGAGAGAGAGAGAGAGGTACATGAGGCTAACCGGTCTGCGCTCTAGCTACAAGACAGCGTCTTCAACCCAAACGTCAAGCTCAACCCGTGGATCCAGGAACTATACGACATGCCCGAGCAGCCGCTGCGGCCGCTGCTGGACATCCAGGCCATGTCCCGCCTGCCCACCTGCGAGCTGCGCGTCTTCGCCATGCTCCCCGACCTCATCAGGCACCCCAACGAGAACAAGGAGCAGATCCACTGGATCTACAGCTACATCCTGGACCAGTACCTACAGGTCAAGGTGTTCATCAGCGCCAACCGGGAGACGTCGTGCTGGAACGCCTACGACGGCATCATATGCAACGAGCGGCACGGGCTCTTCATCGCCATTGGCATCACGCTCAACGCGCTGCTGCGCGCCTTCAACCCCAGCAACATACTGCTCGTCAGCCAGCGGTCCATATTCTGCGCCGACGCCATCATCCTCGCCGAGAGGGCCAAGCAGGAGCGCCCGCTGGCCGCCCACCACGTGCCCCAGGCCATCGTGGCCGCGTGGTGCGTCACCGACGACGAGGCGACCAAGGAGACGCTCCGGCAGCTGATTGAGGACTACCGCTCCACGTTTGCCATGGCCAAGCTCGTGCAGCACCTCTCGTGCTGGCCCGAGGCCCCGGCCAAGCTGCGCGAGATTCCGTGGCTCACGCTGCCGCAGAAGACGGAGGCGGCGGCGGCGGCAGAAGCGGCGGCAGAAGCGGACGCGCAGTCGGTTGACACGGATGACGGGACGGAAATCATCGACAGAGAGACGCACGAATTTTGCTGCATTCTATAGCCTTTGGTTGACGGCGACGGGCTCGCGTGCAGGTTGTTCGAGACAAAAGCAGGCACACACGGTACCATTGTACTTGTCTAATCAGAGACGAGGGGGGGGCCCAAAAGAGGGGAGGGGACGGAGGGGGAGGGGAGGAGAGAATGGCCAAGGAAAAAAAGCCTGGCCATGGCTTTTTGTGTAGTCAAAGCTGCCGAGAGCGGCAAACTTGGACCCAGGAAGCATAACGACTTGGGTTCGCATGCTTGACGCGTCTGGCAGGAGGACGCGGGCTGAGCCACCAGACGTTTCACAACGGCGGGCGCAGCGCATGACAAATACACGGCGTCGGTGCGATGTCCATGGCGACGGGGCCATACTTACATACCCTTGATTAGATGAAAAGATACCTCTTGCCAACAACAATATCGTATCATTGTGCGTGTCTGTGCCGAGGAGGATGCTTTTCGCGGATCCTTCCGTTCCACGCTGGGTCAACATGATGATCCTTGGGGTGAAGCGGCGGGTAAAATTGTCAGATATCATATGGTCTAGAACGGAGAGGGGGTGGGTTTTATATAGAATTTTTAAAAAAAAAAAAAACGCTGGCTCGACTGCTGAGCCAGCAGTGACATGCGGTAAATAAGTAGTACTACATACAATATCCTACAAAAGGGCAAGCAATCAAGAGGTTGATCCCATGTCGATCCCGTAAAGGATCCGGCCCACTTGGCACTTGGGGAACTTTTGCAGCGCCCCGACGGAAAAAAAAAAAAAACATGGAGAGACTACATAGATGCTGTTGGGCCGGTCGATGCTGCAGTTGTCGCTGCAGACCACGATGGCTTGTGTGTCATTTGATACCAGTCCAACACAACCAACCAACCAACTCGCAACTTGCAACTTGCAACTCGCCCTCGTTGTTGTTGTTGTTGTCCAATTGCCTCTTCTGCGACGATGCCAACATGAACGAAGACCAGGCTTCCAAGAGGGCGTGGGAGTGAGGAGACGGTGCTCGGTGCTCCCGGTGCATAACTCGGCCCCCAAACCCTCGACCCCCTCCCCTTTCACCCCGGCCAACTGACCAGGACCACGTAGCACAAGCCGACCAGACAGCTTCTTGACCGAGAATGTGGTCTGGTCTCAACTTGTTTTTTGTTCTGAAACCCACGTGGGGACCAGGCGTACTCGGATTCAGGAGTCAGCTAGTAGTACTCCGTAAAAAGGAGAAGTACATAGTACCAGTCGTCACTCGGCAGCTGCCGCCCCGACAATGACACGGCAAACGGAAAACATTGATGACAGGTCGTTAAAATCGTGACCACTGCCTTGTTTTTCTCGACCACTGCCCTGTTTTTCTTTTCCCCATTCACGTCTCCAGCTCGACGCCGTTCCGCTGCACGTAGTCGACGAGCGGGTCAAAGGCGCGGCACTTGTGGTGGATGTTGAAGTCGGCCCTGACGCCGAGCGGGCTCGCCTTGTCGTGGAGGAAGAGCACGGGTGTGATGTCACCGGCGCACATGAGCGAGAGCCGGAGGGCCTCGATGCAGTGGTCGACGTGGGTGCGACCCGTTGCGGCGTCCTGCAGCATGGACGGGTAGAGGTCTTCGCCCCAGGATGGGTCGAACCTGTCGAGCGGCCACGAGTACTGGCGCAGCACGTTCTGGTCGCGAGTGAGTGAGGGAGTCAGCGCAAGTCATGGTTCCCGTTGGGTCAAAGTCTGGTGTATGTATGTATGTGTGTATGTATGTATGTAGTCTGGCGTGGCAGTGGCAGTGGCAGTGCGCACGGCGCAGATCACGGTACGCCGACGAGGAGGAGGAGGAGGAGGAGACCGCATGTGCAGTATCAAGTTGGACGTACCAGGCAGTGTAGTTGGTGGAAAACCTCAATCGTAGCCCCAAACTCCGGATGGGCAGGGTCGCTACCCTTGACTTGGGCGTGTCTGCCGGCGTGAGTCTGGTTCAATGCCGCCACGCCTGCGGCGTCGACACGGATGAGATGGTCTGGGGGAGGGTCAGCGGGACGGGGTGCATCGTTGATTGCTTTTTTGCCTCTTGGTCGAGACACGGGAGGTTTGCTCACAGTGCCAGAGGTCGTTCCAGGCGCGCTCGCGCTCGAGCGTCGGCGGGCCGCGATACTTGGTCGACGAGTTGAACTCGTTGGCAAAGTTGCCTTCCCAGAACTCGACGGCCTCCCACATGGGCGCTGCAAAGGGCCAGACGGCGTCCGTTAGCGACAGGCGGGTTCATGTAGAATCGTGTTCAACCCACAGTATGGTGAGACCTTCTGGGCGCATTCCAGGTGCGAGGGGGACGGCGGCCGGCGAGCTGCCACCGACAAGAGGCATATCGACGTCAGGAGCAGGACGAGGTTGCCGAGAAGGGCCAGCGTTGCCTGTCTCCGCGTCCAGATTGGCCGCCTGCGAGAGGGCGAGCTGGCTTCATCCGTCGCCGTGTTGACGATGTTGTTGTTGCTGTCGTCGTCGGCCGGGTCGAACTTGTCCGTCGCCTCCAGGCGCTCATACCGAATTGATGCCATGTCCATGGTCGGTAGGGGATGATTTTTTTATTCTTTTTTTTTTTTTTTTGGCGTCCAGGAGGAGGACGACGAGTCTTGTTTCAACATGACGCCGCGGGATGATGAGAGGGGCGTCCCCCCTCCCATCCCCCCTGGCCGCGGCGGTCCGGAACAGCTGGCGAAATAGCTTCGTCGTGGCGGGCTCAAGACTCGGGCGGGCTAAACGATAGCGTCATGTGGTGGTAGGCCTCGAGCCTGTCGATTTCTTTGCCACTGGGAAGGACAACGGCGTAACCGTAGTCTGCCAAACTTTTCGCAAGTGGATGCAAATTAGACCCCCCCCCCCCCCCCCCAAAATGACCCAAGACCTTCCAAGACCTCCGAGACCCCCCTATACTCCATAGTTTTAGATCCCAAATCCCTCGCCAACATTGAAAAGCTCACAAATGGGCAGAAATGGTGTGGCTGAGTGGGGCCTTCCAGACTTGAAGTAGTCGGTGCGTCGTCTGTCGTACCGACGTCAACTGGTACGATGGATGCCATGCTGCTCGAGTGTGGTCGCTCACAATAATATAAGAGAAGCCCGTCCTCTGGCCTTGATCTCCAAGCCCATCGTTCAGCCTCCTCCGTCTCCCACATTGCTTTCTTTTTCCCTCCCCGTATCCTCGGCCTCGTTCTACACCGTCAGAAACAGCCCCCCCTAGCCGACGCACGTCACGCTGCAACGTCAAAGTCACCATGCTCTTCCCGTCGACCTTTATCCCCGCTGCACTGCTCTTCTTTGGGGCCGCAGTTGTCTCTGCCCGACCTGGTATGATCTACATCCCAACCTGCCTGCCGTGCAGAAAGTCTGTCGTGTCGTGTCGAGTCCCTCTAACTCTAACCCGCACAGCCGCCGACGTGGCCGCCGAGAGCAGCGCCGACGACAAGACGTACGCCATCAGCGCCATTCTCCGCTACCGCCAGAAGGAGAAGAAGGACGTCGAGGACGTGGTCGTGCGCGTGGCGGAATAGTTTGGTCGCGCCAGACATGTCTGAGTCGACACGCTGCCGCTGCATACTTTACTACTACTAGTACATGTACATACATACATATTTGATTGACACTTGACTGCATGCAGCCTCGCGCTTGATGCCATGGCCTCCTGGCGAGATTAGGACTAGCACGAGCATTTGGACGGAAATGAAGACAAGACGTCGTGGCCCACACGCTGCAGCGCTGCATCATGGCCCCCCTGTGCATTCTGTGAACATGCTCGGTACATGTGAGCCCCCCCGAGGCACCAAGTGACCCTGCCTCGCCGACCAGACGGTAAACCCAGTCCATGCCCTCGCGTCCTCCAGCCGCAATGCTACCTCGCAACGAGACGGCAGGCCCCAATCGGCAAGGTGCATGTCGATACCTGCGCAGGGTGGGCCCGGGGCGAGTCTGCAGAAGTCTGAACCCTCTCCATCTCCTCAATCGCCGGCATCGAGCCGTCCACCTGCCTAGTTGGGGGTGTGCGCAATCCCGCTTCCCGATCCGGGGGGAAATATCTATGTGGTTGTAGATTCCACACATGTAGTCGCCATCCCTCTCTCCGTCCCTTTGTCCTTTTGTCGGTTTTCCTCGTGCAGCATTTGTGTTTGTTTGTTTGTTCGCTTGCTTGCTTGTTTTCTTTTTTTTTTTAATTATTATTTTTCGCCGGCTTCCCTTCCCAGCTCGCCCGGCCGCCGCCGTGACGCTGCCCCCCAGCCGGCCACCAGCAGCAGCAGCAGCAGCACCACCGACCACCCAAGCACATGAATGCAGAATGGACCTCGTGTCGAGGGCCATGGGCGCCGACGGCGACGACGACTCGTTTGGGCCGCAGCTGGGGTCGCACTTTGACTTCACGCTGCTGTTCGAGCACGCGGTGCTGACGATCCTGCCGACGAGCCTGTGCATCGTCGCGTCGCCGTTTTACATTGTGCGCTACGCCAAATCGCCCGTCTGCGTGGCGAGCAGTCTGCTGCTATGGGCCAAGCTTGTAAGTGGACTTGACCTTGACCTTGACATTACCGACGTGGACGGTGGCGCACCCTTCCAACGCCCAACCGGCCGGGCCAAGATGCTCTAGCTCACAACCACATCAGGCAGTGCTGGCCGTGCTCCTGGGCGTCGAAATCGCCAGCCTCGGGCTCTGGAGCCGCCTCCCGGCCGTCCGCTCCGACGCCTCGCTCGCGGCGCTGTCGCTCGTGTGCGTGGGCACGCTGTGCATCGTGGCGGCCGTCAGCCTCGAGCACCGGCACTCGTTCCGCTCGTCGGCCCTCATCAGCCTGTACCTCAGCCTGACGGCGCTGCTCGACGCCGTCAAGGCCCGGTCCCTCTTCCTCCGGCCGCGCCTCCACGCCGTCGGGGGCCTGGCCGCCGCCGCCGCCTCCGCCAAGCTGGCCCTGGTGCTGCTGCAGGAGGTCTCCAAGCGGACGCACATCAAGGACCCGGCCCTGCGCCGCTCGCTGAGCAAGGAGGCCACGAGCGGCTTCTGGAACCGCTCGCTGTTCCTGTGGCTCAACTCGACCTTTCTGCTGGGCTTCCGGACCGTCCTGCGCATCGACGACCTGGGCTCCCTGGGCGACGACTTCTCCGCCGACCACCTCTCCGCCCGCTTCGAGCCCGTCTGGGCGAAATGTACGCTTCCCCCCTACCTGTGCTGTCAAAAAGTGTGTGTGTGTGTGTGTGTGTGCTGACCTGCCCAGATAAGCATTCGTCGTACGCCTTGGCCAAGTCGGCCCTCGTGACGCTGCTCCGCCCGTTTCTCGCCGTCATCGTCCCGCGGCTTCTCTACACGGCCTTTACCTTTAGCCAGCCGCTGCTGCTGCGGCGCATCGTCGGCTTCCTCGGCGAGGACGACCCGTCCACCAATGTCCGGAACGGCCTCATTGGCGCCACGGTGCTCATATACTTTGGACTGGCGGTACGTTTCTTGTCCCACCACCCGCCCGCGTGCCCGGCCACGGACATGGAGCAAGGCAACTCACGGGCAGCACTAGGTTACGAGCGCCAGCTATAATCACCTCAACAACCGGCTGGTGACGCTCCTCCGGGGCGTCCTCGTGTCCGAGATATTCAAGAAGACGCTCGCCATCGACCAGTGCAGTGCGCGGGAACTCGCCGCCGCGACGCTGATGAGCACCGACGTCGAGGGGATATCGCTCGGCCTTCGCAAATTCCACGACATCTTGGCGAGCATAGTCGAGGTCGGCCTGGGCATCTACCTCATCACGACAATCGTCGGCAAGGCGTCCTTTCTCATCGTGTTTCCGGGAATCGGTAAGCCACACGTGCTGCTCTTGACTCCCTGGTGTCCCGTTACACTCCCCGACTAACAGCCGTCCAGCTTCGACAATCGCCACGTACGAGATTGGCAGGCGCATGGCTCCCGCGCGCATCGCCTGGAATAAACAAGTCCAGAACCGCGTCTCCGTCACCTCGAGCGTGCTGCAGCAAATCAAAAACATCAAAATGATCGGCCTGCGACCCGTCGTGGCCGACCTCGTCCAAGGCCTCCGAGAGACGGAGATGCAATGCTCTAAACGATTCCGCGTTCTGGAAGTCATCATGAGCGCCTCAGGTTCGAGCCCTTGCTCTCCCTTCCTCCCTCCCCCCCTCAGCCTCGGCCGGCAACACTGACTCTGTACACAGTCATGCTATGCTACCAGATCACGCCAACCATCGTCATGACTGCGGCGATCCTCTGGACAACCTTCTCCAGCGGCCTCAGGGCCTCGGAGACCTTTACAGCGCTCGCCATTGTCGTCATCACGTCGCTGTCCATGGCGCGCGCCATGCTGTGCTACCCCATCTTCGTCTCGACGCTGGGCTGCTTCCAGCGCATCCAGACGTACCTCCTGCTCGAGGAGCGACAAGACCGCCGCCGCAGCATCAACGACCTCGTCCTCTCCAACGGCTACCCGTCCGAGAAGCACGCCTCGTACCATTCCGTCTCACCCGTCGACAAGCCCCCGCTGGAGCTGCGGGCGCCGCAGACATCCACGTCCGTCATGTTTGTCAACGCGTCCGTGGCGGCCGCGGCAGGCAGGGAGCCTCTTCTCAAGGGCGTCGACGTGTCCGTCTCGCGCGGCAAGCTTGCCGTGGTCCTGGGGCACACTGGCTGCGGCAAATCCACGTTTCTGAGGGCCATCATTGGCGAGGCTCACCTCACCGACGGCCACGTCTACGTCGAGAGGCACCAAGTCGCCTACTGCGACCAGACGCCGTGGTTGAAAAACGTGCCCGTCCGGGCAAACATTACCGGCGACCACGCGTACGATAAGGACTGGTACAAGACGGTGGTCGACGCGTGTCTGCTCGCCGACGACATGCAGCAATTCCCCAGCGGCGACCAGACGCCCTCGGGAGACAATGGCTCCAACTTGAGCGGTGGGCAGAAGCAGAGGATTGTACGTTTCCCGCCATTCATACGTGCCGTGTCACATTTTCCCCCGTCTAATCAATTGACCCCCTTGCTAGGCTCTTGCGCGGGCCGTCTACTCGCAGGCTTCTCTGCTCGTGCTGGACAACGTGCTGAGCGCCCTGGATCGCAGCACGGCCGATGCGATATTCGCTCGGCTCTTCGCCCCCGGCGGCCTGTTGAGGCGGCTCGGCAGCACGGTCGTCATGACGATTCACTCAGGTATTGCCCGCTCTGATCCCACGCACATGACATGACCGCCTCAAGCTGACTGTTTTCCCAAGCCGAGTACATCAAGTCTGCGGACCAGATGCTGGTCATTGGCGACGGGGGCTCGGTCAAGTCCCTCGCCGGGCTGGGAGACGCCGAGCAGTGCCGGGAGGACGTGACGGCGTGGCTGTCGCCCAGCGCGGGCGAAAAGGTCGACGACAAGGGCGACGCCGCGGACGAGGCCCGCGACGCTGGCAAGCAAGACCTTGAAGGTACCAGCGCAAACGACGAGCTGTTGATTCGTCGACATGGCGATTTCCGCCTCTACTCGTTCTATCTCAAGTCGACGGCGAAATGGCTCTGGGCGATATGGCTCGTGACGGTTATTTTTGTCGCCGTCGCAGAGCGGCTGCCCGGTGAGTTTTGATTGATTTCGTACATGTGCAATGGGCGCGACGGGCGGGACTAATACGAGGCGTCTGGTTAGAAATCTTTCTCCGAATCTGGCTGGACGTGGCGCCGGAGAATAAAGTCTATCTTGTCGGATATATCCTCTTTGGATTTTCGAGCTTTACAGCCGCCGGCATAACGTTGAGGTACATAAGAGGACTTTGGATTGACAGCCCCGGTTCCGTATTTGACAACTAACACGGCTGCAGCTTGTACTATCTGAAAATTGTGCCGAATAGCGCCGAGAATCTACACCGTGTTCTCTTGGACAAGGTCATGGGGTGCGGAGTAGAACGGAACCCTGCCTGTATCGCGGCCGCGCTGACGTTGAGCTAGATCTACATTGTCGTTTCTCTCGTCTACAAGCAACGGATCGCTTCTCAACCTGTAAGAGTGGCCGAGATTTCCCAATCGCCAGGCGAATGTATTCTAATGCTGCGCAGATTCAGCCAAGACATGAGCCTCATCAGCCAAGACTTGCCGCTGGCTTTTTTTCGCCTCTTGTATTGTACGCTTTGTGCTCGTCGTCGCGTGAACAGGCCTCGTTTCTAACTTTTGCCCTGCAGCCTTTTTTCTATTAATCACAGACATTGGCATCATCGCCGCCGGCGCCACGTACATTTCCGTCATCATACCCTTCATCCTCATGTGCGTCTACATCATTCAGTACTTTTACCTCCGCACCTCTCGACAGATGCGATACATTGACCTGGAGGCCAAGACGCCTCTCTACACGCAATTCTCCGAAATCAGCGCCGGCCTGATGCACATCCGGAGCTTCGGGTGGGACAGCCAGTGCCTCTCCCGCAGCCGGCAGCTGCTCGACGACTCCCAAAAGCCCTTTTACTACATGTTTTGCATCCAGCGGTGGCTCGGCCTCGTGTCGGAGCTGTGCGTGCTCGGCGTGGCCACGATCCTCGTCTCGGTCGCGCTGTGCTTCCGGGGCACGACGTCACAAAACGCCATGGGGCTCTCCCTGCTCACCCTGATCCAGTTTGGCGACTCCATCCTGACGCTGCTCAACACGTGGATCGACACCGAGACGTCTCTCGGCGCCATTGCGCGCATCAAGTCGTTTGCCGAGACCACGCCGAGCGAGGACGACGGCGGTGGCAGCGCCGAGTTGCCCGCCGGCTACCTGGAACAAGGGGCCATCAAGATGGTGGGCGTGACGGCCACATACAAGTAAGGACTTTATCGTTTCGTCACTCGTCACTCGTAGCGAGGCTAACATGGTGCCGCTGAAAAGCTCAGACGCGTCGTCGACGGCTCTCGAAAACGTGTCGCTGGACATTAAGCCCGGACAAAAGGTGGCAGTCGTCGGGCGAACCGGGAGGTATGTCCTGCGCATCAAACTATAATGTAATCGACATGTATCAAAACACAGAGAACTGACAGCCAGATGTAGCGGGAAAAGCTCCCTCCTCCTCACCATCCTCCACTTCCTCAACTACACGGGGCTCATAGAAATCGACGGCGTGGACGTGTCCCAGATTCCGCGACAGCACCTGCGGTCTCGCATCACCACCATCCCCCAAGACATGGTGGAACTTCCCGGAACGCTGCGCGACAATGTGCTCCCCGTCACCACCACCGGGACACGGCCGGCCGCAAGCCACACGCGCGACGCGGCCATCAGCGAGGTCCTAGCCAGGGTGAGGCTAAAAGAGCACGTCGACGCCCACGGCGGGCTCGACGCCCCCTTGGCAGACATGGGCTTCTCCCACGGCCAGAAGCAGCTGCTCGCCATTGCGCGCGCCGTCCTGCACAAGCGCGAGGGCGGCGGGCGCATCCTGCTCGTCGACGAGGCCACGAGCGCCATGGACGCCGAGACGGCCAGGGTCATGCGGCAGGTCATGGACGACGTGTTTGGCGACTGTACCGTCATTGCTATCTCGCACCAGCCAGGAGATGTGGAGAGCGCAGATGTTGTGCTGCACGTGGAGGATGGCAAGGTCACTTGAGGCCAAAGGGGGGGTCAAACATGTTTATGGGATCATGAGCTCACGCACGCTAGCGATAATACTGCTTTTAATACACGCGCATAAATTAAGAAGATGCGTGGCGGGACATAGCGAGAGGGCCGGATCTTGACGGCAGGCCACATTTTAGTCTTTACTATACATAGCGGAAATACCAACATTGAATCCAGAGCCACATGCATGTGGATGCTGTCAACTGGTCTCAAGCCGGTGTACATGTGTAGGGGCACGGGCGTATTCTACTTCCTACATATGTAGTACCTAAATCATCTGGCTGGGCGGGTTTCGTAAACCCGAGGCCGTCCGGTCTTATAACTTGTACATTCTACTGGCCACGATTGACGCGACCTGCTGTTTCAGCAAGTGACGACTGTTCTTCGCGTCCTCCGTAGATGCACACACGTGGTGGTTGGAAATATAAATACGATATATTGCTGCGTTGAGTAGCGATACTATGCAATATGTACTTATGTATATATATATATGCGTCTAAGTCGTTGAAATCATGCATGCTCTTGCCACCCATTCATTAATGCTGTTATAAAAAAAAATTCGTTCTTTTAAAGACCAAAACAAAAAACACCCGCATAAGAAGTGAGTAGAGACAAGGCCCTCAGTCCCCAACCCAACCCAACCCAGCCCAGCCCCCGGGTTCTGCATCAATGGCCGGCAATTTCAAAACGAACAAATACCGCCTCCCTCGTCATCCATGGTCCACGAGCCCGCGAGCCCCTTGACGTCCACGTCCGTCTCGACAGCGCCCTTGTCGGCCTTGGAAAAGATAGCGTCGGCCTGGTACTCGGCCTTGAGCTTCCTCTTCATGAAGCGCCGCGTCCACTCCTCGACGGCCGGCTCGCCCGTCTCGTCCCTCGCCTGCTTGAGGAAGGGGATCAGCGCGGTGCCGCCGGTGCCCGTCTGCCCCTTCTTTGCCTGGGCCGCCGACGCCGACGCGGCGGCGAGGTTGACGCGCTTCCTGCTCTGCGAGCGGCCGCGCGCGCGGGCCTCCCTCGACGGCGTGATGATGTACCGCGTCACAATGGCAATGTGCTTGTCTCGAAAGGCGCTCAGCATGGCGAGGCAGGCGTCGTAGGCGAGGCACAGCTGCCGGTTGGGCTTGTTGGCCTGCACAAAGTCGCGGATGTTGGCGACGCGCGAGACGTCGGCGAGGAAGCGCGCGTGCGGGCCCGGCATGTACCGCCGCATCTCCTGGATGAAGTTGTTCCTGCTGGGGGCGGCGGCGGCGGCGTGGCGGGCCCCGGCTTCGGGCTCCGACTCGGACGAGGCGGATGGGTTCTGCCTCTCCCCGGTCGGCAGGTGCTGGATGCCGAGGACGATGTCGAAGAACTGGATCAGGCTGCTCTGCGCGTTGCTCCCGCCGCTGTACTGGCGGTGCTTTTCGGCCCCGGTGCCCTCGTCGTACAGCACGCCGTGCGGCAGGCCTGCCTCGGCCATGTTCTTGCTGCCCGCGAGGAACGGGCGGACGCGGTGGTAGAAGACGGTCGGGTCGCAGCTCTCGTGCATCCGAACCAGGATGTTGGTCAGGTCGGTCAACAGCTCGGCGAAGCCGACGAGACACCGCGTCACCGTCTTTGCGTCGTCCTTTCTTGCCGCGGCAATGGCCGTGAGCATCAAGTCGAGAATGGGGGCGCCGCGGGCCTCGATGGCCACCGAGATGAGGTAGAACCACGACTCGTCGATGGATCCCGTAAATGTATTCAGCGTGGCCAGATTTTCCATGTTGTCAATGTCTTCGTCCATGAAGACGGGCTTGAAATTCCACAAGCAGACGGCGGCGTAGGTCGCAACGGGGGGCACCTCGAGGTGGTCGGATATTTCGAGCAGGGGCACAGAAATGGCCATGGGAAGTCGGTCGGCCGGCGCGTCACCCCCCCAGATGTATGCGTGGGCCATGAAGCAGAGCAGGGAATATGCACGGCGCCATTCTGCTTCGTGTTCGAGGCCTATGGTAGAGAGGACGGGTAGGTGGTCGATGACGCTGCGCAGGCGACGGGACAAGACGAGGGCTTGCAGATTGGCCGCGATGGCCTCCCACTTGTTGTAGTAAGGATCGGGTAGGTGCGTCAATGGAAGGGTCTCGGGCAAGAAGCCATGTCTTGGAGATAGGCCGTAATCGGCGAGAACGGGGACAGGAGGCAGCATTTTGCTGGGCGAGGTTTTTGGTTGAGGCTGGAAAAGCCCTCGTCGTGGCCGCGATTCCGGTTATGGCCGATGGAGTCGGAGTATGTGTCTCTGTCCTGACTTTGGCCGCAGCCTCAGCCTTGGCTTAGAGAACTTGAACTCGGTTACACGGCGACAGAAAAAAAAAAGACTTCAGAGTCAACAGAGAGTCTAATTGGTAATAGCACGGTGATGCAAGTATGGGAGTTTGTTAAGTTTGCGCGGGGGAGGGGTTTGAAGGAAAAAGAGTCGCAATCGATAAGACCCGGTCGTAGGGGACCTGGGTGGCTTATTATTAATGTCTGGGTCATACGACTCGTGCCGAGGCCGGACGTCCTGGTTATACATAATAGTATTGGGTTTCGGTTGACTCGGAGTGGAGCTGAGGCGTTTATATGCCAACAACGTATTCTAATAGGCTACCAAAGATTGAAAAGGAAACCCTTCTGGTCTTATAGTTGCATTTTGCTCCAGTTGTCTCGACATTTCGAGCCATAGGTACGGAGTATCAGGTTCCATAATTGCACGGGAAGCCTGCACAAAACGTGCGACTTGTCAGGGCGGGCTTTCATAGGGAGGGTTCTAAGGATTCGACCCCTTTGAAGTCAATCGACGCCGCCACGTGGTCATACTTGTATCCACAAACTGTAGGCCAATGCTAGTTGTTGCCATTAACTTGGTTCCTTTTGGGTGAGTGATGGCTTGTTCCAGGTCGAATCATATTCAATCCTTCCAAGTCGCGAGCCTGCAACTAGGACCCACAGGCAAGGTACCCGATAGCCGGTCGCTTCGAGTCCTCAAGTTGGTTGGGAATCATGGACTGATGCAAATGCCACTATGCAATACGGAGATGAGATGAGAGATCAGCTTCAATTTACCCACTCAAGGGCCTTGCTGAGCATCTTAGTTATAATCCGAATCTTTGGAACCTGTGTGGCCATCGGATGCCCGTCCCCGTTTCCCCGCCAAGAGGCGCCACCAGTCAACCCACTTCAAAGCTCACACCTCACCTTGACCTTGCCTTGGGCACGGCCTCAACCTCACCTTGGCCTCACCTGGACCACTTGAGCCTCTACCACCGCATCGCCAGACCCCAACAAGCGCGATAAACAGCAGCTGTTCCGGCGACCTCGACACAGCCATCGCCAGAAGCTGACCCATTCTCAAATCCGCTACTTTGAAAAAGATAAACCCCTCCCGAATCACCTGCCATCAAGTGTTACTCTCCAAGCCCTGCTCTCCTCAAGGCAGTCGCAAAATCATCAAGTCCATGCGGATGGCCACCGCTTCGCACGGTTGAGCTTGAGCCCCTTGGAGACAGGCGAAGCACTGCAAATCGAGGCATCCAACAAGCTCCAGCTTGTGGCTTCTCCAGCTCTCCTGTGCACCCTCTCCTCCACAATGCCAGTACAGCAACATGTTCTCAACTGGCTGTACAGCGTTCTAACCAGTGTATGCATGCCCAAGCTGGGTCCAGATCAATCCTTCATCCTTCTGATATAACGCCATAGGAATATCACGACGTCAACCGCACATACAATGATGTCGCCCAAGCGTTGACACAGTATCCCACGCTCTCCCCGCGTACCGACGTGCATAGTGAGCCACTCCGGCTTTGACCAGACACTATCAAATCGCTAATAGCATTCTAGCCTTCTCCAACGGTTCCAGCGCGCTTCTACTCCATATCACCGGCACGATACCCGTCAACTTTCGCGGAAATACATATCGATTCCCGGTTTCAATATGGGTCCCTCACGCTTACCCTCGCGAGCCACCGCTCGTCTATGTCACGCCAACCGAGAACATGATGGTTCGTCCAGGGCAGCATGTTGACCCTCAGGGGCAGGTATACCACCCATATCTGGTGGGATGGGCACAATTTTGGGATGTGAGTTGGTCAAATGATTTCTGTCAGCATTCGCACTCGTCTCCCAAAGCTAACGGCTCTTGCAGAAATCAAATATTCACGACTTCATGTCAGTTTTATCCGATATATTTGCCAAAGAGCCCCCGGTTGTGTCCAGACAAGCGGCTCGACCACAACCGCAGCAACCACCTATGCAAGCACCACCTCCGGTCCCCCCTCTGCCCCCGGAGATGGCACCTCGACCGCCGCAAACACTTCAGAGCTCGACAAACAGCTCCCGTCCGCCGCCGCCGCCTCCGCCAAAGGAAGATCAAACACCCCAAACCTCCACCCACTCAGCCTCTCCTTCATCAGATACGACCGTGCGCACGTCCTCTGTCCCATCCCGATATGAATCAGCACCGCCGCTTCCCACCCAAGCACCAGCATCACCGCCCGTTGTACGACATGCTCAACCTTCCTCTCAGTTCCAACAACTCTCGCAGCAGCAGCACCAGCATACACAACCTCCCACGAGACATTGGCTTCCACATGGACCGCATAGCTCATCTCAAAACCCGCCGTATTCGGCACAGCAAGTGCCGTCTCAACAGCTTCCACCACAATGGCAAGCTCTAGGACCACCACCACCTGGATATGCTGTAGCCCCTGGGGTAGGAATGCCACCACATATCCAGCAGCCTCCAGTACAGCAACCTGCTCCTCCACCTCCAAACATCCTTGATGAGCCACTCACTCTCGACATTCCCGAGGCCACGACCGTGGCGCCTCCCCCAATACCACCAAATCCCGAAAAGGACAACCTCTTGCGACAAATTGCCCAGACCCTGTATGTTATTCGACAGCGGTCTCGACAACAGAATGATTCCACCATGGCAGGGCTTCAGGGGCAGCGAAGCGCCATGCAGAATGCCATGGCTGGTATTCAATCCGAATCGAGCCAGCTCACTCAGCTATCTAATGTGCTTACGTCGAACACGACCATTCTCCACGACGCTTTACGGAAGGCAGACGCGGTTATTGATGGGTCAAGAAGCCACCCTGCGCCTGATATCGACGAGCTCCTCGTGGCTCCGACAATCGTGTCTAATCAACTGTATAATTTGGTGGCCGAGGAGAAGGCCCTCGGGGACGCCATTTTCATGCTGGGCAGGGCTGTTGAACGGGGCCGTATTTCCCCGGCCGTATTCGCAAAGATGACACGGTCATTAGCAAGAGAATGGTACCTCAAGAAGGCATTGGTGAGAAAGATTGGCCAAGGCATGGGCATGGCGTCAGCATAGTCTAGCAAGGAGTGTGAAGCCTTTGGAAAACCACAGTGGGATCACGGCGAATCAGATGAAACAATGTAGCCTCGGCGCGAGAAGAAGATGAAGAAAATTCCCGTTTTGCTTACCGATTTACATGGCTCGTCGAACAAGGCTCAATATCATCTTTGTTTGCCCGCACTCTCCACGGTGACACCCCGAGCGAGCTGTCTGCCCAAGTCTCGGCACTTGAAGGCGCAGATGTTCCCATACGCTCCTCTCGTCTCTGTACCAAATCGCGCCTCGCAGCCATTCCGCCGCCAATGTCCGGTCCCTGCGCCCCTCCCGGTCCTGCATGGCGCCGGCGCCCCGGTCCACAATGTCTCAAGAACAATACTACACCAGCGCCACAACCCCAAAGAACAATATCAACGGGGATACATGGATTCACCACCCGGCCCGGCCATCGTCAGCGGGATGAAGCGTACACGTCCCGAGCTGCCAGCAAAATGTAACCCCATAAACGAAAAAGGGAACCCAGATATCCCGGTTGAAACTTGTTTGTCTTGACGGCGGGCGACTCGCTTGAATTTGGAAAGCATACGCGATATAATGACTTTTTTTTTATTTTTACTTTTTGTTTGTTTTTCTGCAAATGCTTTCGTGTCAGTGCAAGGCGGGTGCCGGTGTGACAGGGTGAACCGTATTTGAAGCCCCCGTTCAAACCGGTTGATATTGTACAACGGCCCTCGTTGCGATTGTGCCATAGTATTATCCCAGAGCCGAGCAGCTTCCATTGTCGACGTCCAAGCATTGATAGCCTCTGCTCAAACCTACGACATCAAAAAGGGCCTCTCAACATACAACACTCCTCCTCTCAACATCTCCAAAAAAAAAAAACCTGGGCATCATGAACACCACGACCACCGCCGACATGGCCTTCAACCCGCTCCTCCAGCCCGTCACGTTCCTCTCGGCGTCGCAGAGCCCCATCTCCATCCCGATCCCCAGCATCGACGCCTACAACGACGAGACGATCAGCGTGACCATCAACTACGCCTTCCAGCTCGGCTCGTGCGCGACGCTGCTCGTCATGGTGCTCGTCATGACGCCGCCCTCGAAGCTGCGCCGCCTCTCGTCGGCCCTCCACCTCGCCGGCCTCGCCGCCTGCATCGTCCGCATGGCCCTGCTGCTCGCCTTCTTCCTCTCGCCCCTCAACCACTTCTACCAGTTCTGGGCGGGCGACTACGCCTCCGTCCCGCGCCGCTTCCTGGTCAGCAGCGTCGCCGGCAACGCCGCCTCCCTGCTGCTCTTCGTCATCCTCCAGGCGGCCCTCATGCACCAGGCCTGGACCATGGTCTCCCTCTGGCCGGCCCCCGTCAAGCTCTGCCTCGGCGCCGCCTCGGCCGTCGTCTCCCTCCTCGCAACCGGGTGGCGCGTCGCCTTCGCCGTCGTCCAGAGCCGGTCCGACCTCGAGCTCGCCCCGGCCCTCGACCAGGTCTGGGTCGTGCGCGCGGCCCTGATCCTCAACGCCCTCTCCATATGCTGGTACTGCGCGCTCTTCAACCTCAAGCTCGTGCTGCACCTAGCCGTCAACAGGGGCATCCTGCGGTCCTCCCAGACCCTGAGCCCGATGGAGGTGCTCGTCGTCACAAACGGCGTGCTGATGATTATCCCAGGTACGTTTTCTTTTCTTTTACCCTTGCAGCTCAAGGGGACAAATGGACTATTTATTTACTCTTGGTAAAAAAAAACAAAAAACTAACACCAAACCTAAATAGTCGTCTTTGCCGCCCTCGAATGGGGCCACTTTCAACACTTTGAAGCCGCCTCGCTCACGCAGACCTCGGTCGCCATCATCCTCCCCCTCGGCACGCTCGCCGCCCAGCAAATGACAACCCCCGGCGGGAGCCTGGCCTACCTTTCCGGCGCGAGCAACCACAAGTCGAGCGGCCCGTCCGGCCGGGGGGAAAAGCCGACCCCGCCCTCGACGGCGGCGGGATTCTCGGGCCTCAGCACCACCTGCGGCTCGGGCAGTCTTCACCAGTCGCCGTCCGTGTTTTCCACCTACCCGAGCCGGGAGGCGAGGCCTTCAAAGCTGGACCACTTCGATCTGGAGCTGAGCAGGATTGACTCTACCGGCGCTCTGGCTAATGACCGCGTGCGTATTGATACCGATTTGGAGCAGAATGAAACGAGAATCTAGGGGGTTCTTTGACTTTGCTTACCCCTGACAAGGGGCGGTTTGGGTAGATACAGATGGACATCTGCCAGCTTAGACTTTTTATTTTCTCCACAGAACAGGCTTTGCTTAGACATCAATATTGCGCCGACCTGGAATTCTTGGATGGGGTCCAAAAGCCCTTGTTTATATCATCAAGTGTCAGAAAGGGGGGGGCAGGACCTTGTGTCCGCGTACTGGCATAGTTGACAGCATACGGAATGTCACTTCAATTTAGCTTATACAATGGATATTTCCTATATTTGTGTAAATTAGGTCCTACGCTGCATGTGTCTTGGCAATGCCGTAACATGTAAACACCCTGTTCTCTGTACACATCTTCCCACACGTTTGGCTTTGGCCTCAAACCTACAGTTTTGCAATCAAGTTCTTCGCTAGTCAGTTTGCGCACGGTCTTTTCTCATAGTCATCTTTTCCCGGCAGAGACTGACAAGTCGTTTCATCTCGTTGACTCGCACTGGTTGCGGTTGCTCCAATGCACAATTAACGCGGGCAATAAAAGGAGTGTTGCTTCGAGACGTCCACCGTCGCCCCGAAAGCCTCCAGGTTCGACGCCTTTCGCCAGTCTGCGTAACTTGCATGCTCTTGGACCCCTGCCCCCATTGCCCTACATAGCTGCCAACGGACGCGGGATCGTTCTGTGGATGCTGTGTGTCCGATTCGGGATGATTAATACTAGAAACCCTTGGAAGCGAGCCGTCAGACTTCTTTTCTTTCTCGGGGTTGTTGATATTATCGGTCCAGATCTCCCAGTTGCCTGATAGTGATGAACGCACCGTTTCCATGGGTCCATCGCTAGGCACACGCTGATCCTCACCCTTTCGACTGGTCGGTTTGGGCTCGTCCTGAGCAGCACGGTGCTCAGTTTCTATATTCTGCACGACGGGCCTCTGTCGCCACCGGGCTGGTCCCCAGGAGGACGAGGACTTCCTCCTGACCTCCTCAGTTATCCCGGGCTTGGGTTGATGGACTACCTGACAAGAAACCGATGCTGGGATCCGAGCTTTATATCGAATGCTATATTTGCTTTTTCCATTTGTCTTTTCCTTGGCGATTAACGATTCGAAAAGGCCTATTTTATTTTCAATTTGTGACGGAGCAGAAAAGGCAGGTTGTTTGGGAGTTGCCTCTAACTGTGCCACAGCAGCCTCGACACTCATTTCATTGTGTAGCAGCACTGGAGATGTCAAATGGCTGGGTCCGTGCTTGAATTCGTGCGATTTCCGTTTTATATGCTGCCTAAGTGGAAGCTTGCTCCTGACCTTGCTGACTGATGGCGTTGGTTGGAACCCAACAAACAGAGGCAATTTATCTGTCTCTTCTTCTTTGCCACTCTTTGTGGGGACCAATTCGATATGCGGCACTGCCCTGTCATCTCGGGCCTTGGATATGAGGCTTTTCTGGCTTTCGGGCCGAGATGGAGGCCTTGCTTGGGCCGTTGAGATGCTCTCGCTTGTATTCAGAGTCAGACGACTAGGGTGCATATCTGTAGGCTTTGGGGCCTGCAATGACCCAGAAGCTTCTATTACTGACGAAATTGTTTTATATTGGTTATTTTCTTCCGCGGGATGGAGACCACAGGCGGATAAGCGGTGTGGCTTTGCGCTTTTATCCGCACTTGGAAGCGATGGATAGGTGGATGATAGTGGCAGATATCCAGACAGTCGTTTCGACACGTTTGCTCTTTTGGGACAGGACAAGACGGCGGCTCGACTCTGGGCCAGGCATGCTAATGGCGATCGAGCTCGGACTGTTTGCCATCTAGCTGGCAAGCGTAGTTTGCTACCTTGCCGAGCTGGGCCGTCGGTCGAGCCTGTCGAATGAGACTTGTCTGCGTGTTGTCAGCTATTACCCATCTCGAGACTACTCACAAGAAGTCCGACCCTCATCAACGGTGTCTTCGACAGGACCTTACTAACCAGGATTGGTAGCACCAAGGTTCACTTCAAAAATCTTTTTTCTCTCCGCAACCACTGAAGAGCCCTTTTCGACAGTCTCCAGTCTCCCAGGTTGCCAGCTACACTGGACCTTGTCGTTTGATGCACTTGATTCCTGAGATGCCAAGTCTTGGCTTGTGGGTGGGTTTCTCGCAGAAGTACATAAAGACGAAGTTGTTATGGACGAGGGAGCAGGAGGTGGCTCGAAGAGGCTCGTTGCAGACAATGTAACTGGGGCTCTTGCTGTCCCTCTCAAGGATAACGGTTTGGTTGGGCGTGACACGCTCTCCAGGCCCTCGAACTTGGAGACTAAATGGGCGAGGGCCCTACCCGCTCCCACTCGACGCTTCAGTTGGCGTGCTGCAATAGCGTCAGCGTCTTGGGGCTCGGAAATATCTGTCGTCAAAGTTTGTGTCGCAGACAACAAAGAAAGTATCGGCATTGTTGCCAGGAATGCCGTTCATGCTTGATGCAGAGTGGATTGGAAGTGTGCGAAAATGTCTAGGATTTAGTTCAAAGCAATGTTTTCCTAGGTTCGTTGTCAGTGTTTCCAGAGTATTGAGAGACGCCTTCCTGGTGTGTCGGAATAGATCATGACCCTCCCTGTATGTAGGGAAGGAGTCGTATGACTGCGGTTGACAATCACGCTTTCCACAAGCTGTGTGAGCAGGGCGGCTGGCCGATCAGGACCATCAATGCAAAGTCCGCAACAGATGGGCTTCAAGGCGAAATATTTGTATTGATTCATGTTTGATCGTGTTCTTAAGACGAACTGCGCCCATTTACAATTCTCCCATTCATCACACCGTGCTTGAGACCAATTCTATTTCTCTTCCCTCACAACGATATGCCAAGTGACCCCTCTAGCGTACATTCGTGTTCATCTATTATACAGGTAGTGGTCGGTCGTCCAGCGCCCATTGATATTTGGCGCTTCGATTCCGCAGCTGGTGTGGTTTTAAAAGTCGGTCAATTACTGGCTATTCACATAATCTTGTCAGCATATCGTCAATGCGCCTCGGCATTGCAGGGAGTTGGATGTCGCATACGGAGGCAGAAGCAGCTCGCCCCAGGGGCTAGCGAGAAAAGTAACGGCGGCCTTCAACAAGTGTCAGAGTCCAAGGTAAATTTTATCGAAAGTGATTCCCAGGCCAAACTCACGCCAAACATGGCAATGCTGCGGACAACAGCCGCGTTTTCGGATGAAGTCAGAGTGCCGTATGCGGAAGCGAAGAAACCCTTAGGAGCACGGCGAGATGAAGGCTTCTCAACGAGGACTCTCTTGGGAGCAGGCATTTTGTATGGATTTAATTAATGCGACGGCAAGTGAAGTCGTTTTGCGTTGATCAAAATGGTGAATGGCAGATCAAAGCGTTTGGACGGAATGACGATTTTGCTGGAGCTCTTTAAAAATTTCGGGCGACGGCTTCTTTTCCAGTGACAAGGGGGGCCAAATTGACTACCACCCCAGACCCACTTGCCATCACATGATTGGCGTCATCAGCAGCCCAAGCAAGTCAAGACTCAAGATAGACATGATCTTGGGCACTTCAATTGAGACAACATATCGAGATATGCAAAGGCCTTACTTCCTCTTCGAGTGTATTTAATTCAACTTTTAAAAAATAGCATTCTGTGCAAATCATCTCCCATCACCGCATCCTGAACCTAACCCCACCTGTCCTCACTGGTCACGTCACGCCTTCCACATCAGCCATACATACATGCTCAGACAGCATAATTTCATAGAGACGTCTCATCCAACAAGGTCACATCAATAATGGATGATCAGTCGACTATACCGGAACCCGGCGGATTCATCCGGCAGACCGGCCTCCCGTCTCCGGCCTCATCCTCAGCCTCCACCAGGCCCCTTGCCGGACTTCCTCACCCACGAGGCCACTCACTACGCCCGGGGTCAAGTAAAGAGGACATGGTCCGTCGCTACGTCGAAGAGCGCCTCCTACACATTTCACGTCGCTACGTCAAGAAATTCGGCAACCCAAATCCCGGAGATGAGGTCGTCGGGTTCAAATCCTTCGGCGAAGTCGCCAAGGAACTCGACGGACTGGTAAACGTCCTGTGGAAATCCGGAACACGTGCGTGTCAACGTTTCGCCCTTTTCCCCCGCCTTCTTCGTGAATACTAACCACCTTGTGCTAGCGAGCCTGCAAATTCCGTTTCTGTTGAAACTAGCTAGTGACTTTACGCAGTATGTGCGGTCCTTCCCGCCCTCTCCGCGAGCAACATTTGAGCTGCTGCGGAAACTGGACCACTGCTTCGCCAGTCTGTTGCGCGGTCAGGACATGGACACAAATGAGACCCTGCCCGGATTTGAGAATGGTCTCCGGGCAGGCATGACCACGACCGACATGGTCCGGTGTCGGAGTTTGGTGGAGCAGACGAGGGTCTTGATCGTGGAGGTATTGAGCAGCGGCGACGTGGATGATGAGGACGATGAGGACGAGGACGAGGATACAGATATGGATATGGATGGCGGTGAAAGTGCAGCGGAGGCCGGCGGCAACCGGACCCCGACGCCGTGGGATATTGAGGAGGAGAGGTTGCACATGGATGCGGCGCGGATATACGAAAATACTATTGTGCAGCTGGGCGAGAGATTGGGCGATCCGTTGGGAAGTGAAAACAAGATTGATAGTTCTGCGGTGTGTTCGACTGCTGATTAGCGCATAGTATTGCTCAGCCAGACTAATGGTAATAATGGTAAACATTATGACGATTCTGCCTAGGCTCAATAACTTGGATAATATTATCTGGTATGGTCCTTAGAGCTCCTTCTAGACAATTTTATCAGAGGAACTCTGTAGACCAAATCATCTTTCATTGGTAGTCTTTACATACAATCGCGTCCGGTAAGACCTGTCCACAAAGTGACAGCGATAGTAAATACGCTCAATGCCTCACTAGCACTACCAGATATGATTGCCGGCTAGTTTCTTTTGGACCTGCAGTTCAGTCGCACACCATTGCTACCAATACTAGGTCCATAAACAGGTATATTCAACC